AGACTGTCACAGTTCCAGCCTGGAAGGAGCTGCCTGAGCCTCCCCCCACCACACACCCACTCTCTGCCCCACACACTGTGGGGCTGAGGCCTGGGGGCAGCAGGTCAGGAGTGAGGGGTACTGGGTCAGGACTGGCCACTGATGTTTACAAATGGGCCCTTGTACAAAAAAAGTTGAGAACCACTGACAGAACACGATACTTCACATTATGGATGGGTTTAGGATTTTGTAAAGTGGCATTTGCAAGATGCAGCTGGTGCCACCCTTGCAAGCAGGTCATGCCATGGCAGCAGCTACCTGAGACTTCTTTGAATCCCCTAGGCAAGTAAGATCCCCCAGACCTCCCCACAGGCCTGTTCTGGGCACTCCCCTCTGGTTCTCAGCAGCACCTTCCCTATCCTCCCATTCCGCCCCCTATACCACCTCCAACAGGAGGTATGTTTGGGCCTAAGAAGTGGAGACCTGCCCTCCAATGCTGTTGCTCCCAGCTGACCTAGGGCCAAGGGAAGCCCCAATCCACTTGTGCCCCACTCTAGTTAGGGGCTCCTGTGAACAACTTTATGGGGTGCTGGGCTCAGCTGGGGACAGCAGCAGTGGCAGGTGGGTACCCCCTTCAGCACCTGCTCCTTGCCTGACCTCCCCTAGGTATCCTCCACTGGCCTGGAGCAGGCACTGGAAGAAGTGGGTGATGGCTCTCTGATACCACTCATCCCTGTCCCATTCCAGCATCTCACATAGCTGCTTCCTTCAGTTGGAGCCTCTGGGCCAGAGGGGAAAGTGAAGTGGAGGGGGAAGGGAGCAGGGACCTGCCTGCTGCCACCAAGCCTGGCACTCCATGTAGACTCTAGTGCATTTCCCAACCTTTTTCATCCCACAGCACACTTACAGTGTCTCCCATCCCACGCCCCACCAGAAGCCACACCCCCACAAGATCCCGCGATGCACCTGGTGAAGTCTGAAGGCACACCAGTTGGGAAATGTTGATCTAGTGCAAGGGGGCCTTTGTCTTAATTGGGACCCCTTGCATATGACTGCAGTAAAAAAGTGTACCAGTAATGTAGGAACACAAGTCCTAGGTAATAAATACTTGCTATTCTTCTGTGAAGTTGCTGGGTAGAATTCTATAACTGATCTTCCTGTTTAGGGTCCACAGAGCTGCTAGGGGGGAGAGAGAGAGAGAAAGAGAAGTTCTGTTTTGCTGGTCACTGTAAAACAAATGACATACAGCTGTATCTTTATAACCTAGATGCTACACTTTGTGTGTCATCCCTGGTACAGGTCAGCGCTGGAGACAAGCCTGGGAGAATCCTGGCTTGAACACAATCCAGATGGGATACTAAAGGGTGAGGTAAGGTGATGAGGAAATTGGTGCTTGGCCCTTTGCCAATACAGCTCACGGCTCAGTTAACAGATGCATCCCTGCTCTTAGATTTTCAGATGGCAGCTGTGACTTTTCCCCATCTATGTTTGGCTTATGACTTAAGGCCCCATCTATGTATGGCTTATGTTAGGCTGTGACTTATTCGCTCCTTAATCACAACCTTGCTGGAGTGAAAGCTGGTTGCACAAATTTGGAAGAGGAAAAGGGACTTTTTCTGGGAGGGTGGAGACGGGTGTCTCTATGCCTTTTCCATTGAAGGGGTACAACTTTTTGTTTGCTTTACTGATAGATATAGGGCCTTGTGTACTCAGTGATGCCTGCCTATATAGAAAATAGTTTTATTTTATTGAAAGAATAAGAATTTTTAGCTTATTTACTGTAATAGCCTCCATAAGTCACTAAAGGGACTTGGCAAGTGTGGCAAGCGCAGTAATCAGTTATGACTTAAATATTGCTAACTAGGTTAGTATACAATAATGTGTCAGGGTAAAACTTTGACATCCATTAGAATAGAAGGACATATTTTGCTATTAAGCTATTCTAAAATGGAAGCTGTGTGAAGTTAGCTCACGGTCGGGAATATCAGAAGTAGCCCTGGAGCAGCTAGATTAGTGAGTAGAAGGTAGGCAAGTGACTTAAAAGGATACATTAAACACGTACTTATCACATAGCTCTGTAATTTCTCTCATAGATAGATCCACTCCATGTGGTGCATGTATGCGTACAATGTAATTAATCCCCTCAGCAACCTCAAGCTTCATATTCTTTTAAGCAAACTAGCATAGAAGTATTTCCTTTTTGCCACCTAAAGGGGGAATTTGCCTCGCCCATCCCCAATTTACTTTGTCTTAAAGGTCTGTGATTTGGCAACAGTGAATCCTGCACAAGTAACAAATTTAGACACAGTATTTCATGACAGTGTAGAGCTAGAAAGTGGGGCCTTTATGGCAATGGAACAGAAAATTCATGGCTTTGCAAAGAAACACTTACTTTGAACCCTGAAAAGTCCTGAAATATTGGAACTTAAATTCATGACTTCTTCAGTGCAGAAAAATTATTTTAGTGGGTTTTATGGATGCAATTTGAGTCACTTGTACTAAGACAGATAACTTTACAGACAGGAGGACATAAAAGTAAAGAAAACCTCAGTAGTACAATATAACATATATGGATGGTATGGTATATAGGTAAGTTTTTTGGAATGACATACATAACTGACTTGTGTGAAATACTGCTCTCCCAGGCTGATGCTGATGGAATCTTTATGCCTACAAGGGTACATCTACAAGAGATGCTAAATGCACGGCAGCCTAATAGCACTGTGCAGTAGTGTGCTGGGCAAAAACCATGTTAATATGCGACTGCACAGTAGTATTAGGCTAGTGCACAGTAAGGATCACTAAAAAAACTGCACCAGTGCGGCTGTGCAGTAACTGTAGTTGCTGTGTATTTAGTTAGTACTTCATTAAGCAAATACTAAACTAAATGTGCAGTAACTACTGGACATTAATGAACGTGTAGACTTACCCACTGTGTAGTTGTGTAGATATACATTTTCCTTCCACATACACACCTTTTTCAACAATATTTTTGTATGTACTTGTCACTGGTTCACTAGCTCCATTCAATACCAGCTCAATTCAGCTCCATTAAACACCAGGTTAAGGGGTGTGCATATATCCCTGAGGGAGATGATTTATTTATTGCAGTACTTCAAATGACTGGGGTCCTGCTTGCAAGGTGAGACAGAGACTAAGCAGAAAGTGAGACATTTCTAAGTGGTTGTCAGGTAAGTTCTATTTTTATTCATACCTAATAAAGCTTGATGGCTTGCTGGTAAATTAAATCCCTAAGAAAATAAACTTTGAACATTTCTGATTTTCCATCTATTTTAGTGGTGCTTGTGTTTCCTGTGTTAAAATCCACATACAAGTTTAGATGGTGGTTAGTTAGCTAGATTTTCTTCTTTAAATATATGGTATTTCTTCCCAGTTTTTCCTCTTCCCAATTAGTAAACTAACTTAGTCTCATTAGCTTACAATTAAGGAGTAAGAATTAGCTGAGTGAAGTTCTGAGGTAGAGCAAAATGGTTAATAGCGCAAAGTTTTCACTCATGAACCCCTGGACTGTACTGAGGTAAAACTAGAAATGTCTTGCTATGCAGCAAGTCCAATTTCCTATTATTCTGTACCTTGCTCTAGGAGTAAGGCTTGTACAAAATGAATACAATGTGGTTGTCAAATTCCAGCAAATCTGATGTGAAATTATGTTCCACCACTTGGCACAAGAGACAGCACACAGAAGTAATTAAGCAGAATTTTGCAAACATTTGAGTGAGTAACTGGAGACAAGCAGAATCACAGAAATCACGTAGGTGTTGTTCACATGTTTGGAAGACACAGGCTCTGTGCTTCTAATGCAGCTCAGATTACAAACTGGATATCTTAAGAGGTGCTATTAGCTTGTGTGAAAAATCCTCTATCTAAAAGCTCCTAGCAAAGTCACTTGTAAATACATCTCCCTTAAATAATTTTACATAGAAAACCATAACAGATTTCCTGTCCATTTCTAACAGAAACTTTGTTTGTATAATCAAAAAAGATTTAAAGCATTTTTTAAATTGTAAGCCTTATCTCTATATGACATTCAATCCTCATGCAGAGATATAAAACTAAAAGATGATAAAAAAGCTTTATACCCCAAAACAAAGACTGATATTTCAGTTGTAAAATCATTTTATTGGTACAAATATACATATGAATAAAATCCCTTTGACCTGTAATGTAAGTGAATGTCTGTGAAATATGCAAAAAAGCAGAATTGTTTTTACAGGTGTCAAACTATTTTTCTTATAGAATTACACATTAAAAGTAAGCTAATATGCAGACAGAACTTAAGAAGGCCTCTAGAAAACACCAATATTAATAAAATGTTAATTGCCCTCATTCCAATCAATTATATACATTAATATATGAATGTGGAAGCATAACAAGATTATATTTCATTCAGATTCTTCTTTGTTGTGCTTTTTGACAGTACACAAATGTAAGGGTTTGAGTTTTATGTACAGTACAATAACAGGAAGAAAGGGGCTCCCTAGGGGAGAATGTAAAAACCATACCCAAGCATCTAATATATATAATTTATACAAATTATTTTATTAGTGTGCTCTGTTAATATAATTACAATGTGCAATTGCATACCGCAAGAATATATTTATAGTTAAGTCACGTGCAGAATTGACACATTTACATTCAGCAGTACAACACATTACCTGCTGTACAGTGTATTAGTGTAAGACAATGTCCAGTTAATTTGCTTTGCTTTCTCAATGCCCTAATGCAGGGCATGCTTTGTAGCTGCTTCAGAGAAATTCAAGTAGAATACACGAAATGATTGCTGGCTTTAGCAAAGGCATGGAAAGGAATGTCTGAAATCATACATAACAGAAATTAAAGACAAAAATAAATGCATACTGATTGAACTATAAATCATGATCATCTAGAGTTCTACAGAAAAATGCACCCGTGGTGAAACAGTGGCTGGTAAGAAGGGTCATTGATTGCTGTACCCTGATTGCTATAAAGGATCTCGCACTACCAAGCACTTGTACTGATAGCTAAACAAAAATAAAATCTTTATCCGCTTCCTCTCCAGAGTCACTGGACTTGCTTCCCTGATGGGCATCTTTACTTAAGGACCTCTGTTTTAGCTCCTGGTACTCATGGGGCTGATGTCCAGGGCTTCTTTTTGCAGCTGTATATAATACAGAAAGCAGGTGTTACTAATGATTTCACAAGGGCAAAAAACATTAACACATTTGAGGTCTGCCTCTGTACCTACTGAATTCATTTCCTCCAGTGGGAGTGCAGGAGGCCCTTTAATTATTAAAACCAGAAAGAAGAGAAGAAGAAAGGGAAGAATTTATGCCAAACTTCATGCCATTTTCAGCCTATAAACAAGGAGTCCTGAAATATAAAGTATCTTACTGTATCCAATATACAAATTA